TGACCGCACACATGATCACACGATATTCAATAAAATCCAAAAGACTTTGCCAAGCGCTCAGTTTTTACAAAAATGGGGAGAATACCCCCATGACCCCCCTAGTTCCTCCTGCCTATGGCAGCCTGACCCCAAACAAATTTCCGCTCCGCGGTCCCTTAAGACGAACATTCAAATTGACTCCAAAACACAAACATATTTCCGAAAACATTTTGTTTCTTTCAGAACAGGAATAAATATTAAAAAAATTGCACGAAGTCAGTCCCGTTCTTCACAGTCTTGAAGCGGAAAAAAATAAACTGGATCCCGGCCCCCTCCACCACATTGAAATCCCTGCATCTTACATTACTAGGCATACCAAGACTTTTTGATTCAACTTTTTAACAGTTGAAGTTCTCTCACTTTAATGAAAAAAGTTATTAATTACAATATATGATACCAAATAACGTTCTTGACTAACCTTAAACGTTTGCTCTTGATTGCGGTAATCATTGGTGATAAGAATTTAAGCATTGATCAATCAGTATCAGTTCATAACACAACACATCTGTTTCAATTTAATACTAAACATTCAGCTTTCTTGAACCCAAATAGGCCACCTTTTTTGATGAATGAAATTAACATTGATAATCAGCTGACCTTCCACTTCGTAACCCTATTGCATGAAAAAAGCAGTGGCCATGCGTAAATGAGTTTATCAGTTATAAAATATGACATTTAATTACTGTCATATGGAAGAATATATTAGTCATATTAGATCAAATGAGTAAGATCAAAAAGCTGGAAACCAACGTTTATCCAATGTGATCAATTTCTTTTGTTTTACAAATGATCTTTTTATATTAAAAGGTGCAAATTTTTGTATTAAGAAAATCATGCAAAGGTTGTTGGAATGGATGCATAATGACCTTGAAAGGTGTTGATATATATACTGATTTGAGTCAAAATTAAATGTTGGGCCAACAGACCTCATTCTTATGTTTTTGGTAAATGTAATCATGATCTACAAGGTCAGACAGTGAGCATGTCAAGTTGAAATAGAGTTGGGTTGTCGGTAATTAGAATGTAAAGATATGAATGTAAGGAACGCATGACACTATGAGATACTTACATGTAATATAGAAATAAAGGAAAGTTATAGAGCTTAGAAGGTTATTCCCGGAGGAAGACCATGAAAATAAATTCGGAAATATTAATTTTTGACCTCTCTGGGATTTGAACCCATGGCCCTCGGATTTGTACTATCAATGCTCTACCAACTGATCTACAAGGTCAGACTGGAAGCAGGTCCGGTCCAGGTCAGGGTCATGCAGYCCATTCATAGATTTTGAAATGTTAACCTTCAACAGAGAAATTAGTGAGAATCCTCTACTTAGATTAGAACTCTCCAAACATGATTATCTCCAGTGTGTGTCTCAGCAGGGTTTCATTCAAGTCTGTTCYTCAAAAGTAACTACAGTGAATCTTGAGGGTCAGCAATTAGACAAGTATAACAACGAAAATCTTTCAAATGTATATGTAGCTGGCCCAAATGTCAAAAACAGACAATGGATTTCTCCAGTTGCTSACTTCAAATAATAAAAAATCACTGAATTATCAAATCACTYATTTCAATAAATTTCTTTTTGCAGTACAAACATCCAAAACGCTTCTTTCAAATCAGTGCTTTTTAATGACATGTCAAACTTCTCTTGTGAGAAAATCTCTTAWTACACAARGAACACYCAAAGTGCTTGCTCTCCAGTGTGTGTTYTGATKTGMYTGATCAAATTTCCCTTTGTATYAAATTTCTTTGTGAAGTAAGAACATTCAAATGGCTTCTCTCCAGTGTGTGTTCTGATGTGATCAATCAAGTTTGTCTTTTGATTAAATTTCTTTTTGCAAATATAATAAAGAACATTCAAATGGCTTCTCTCCAGTGTGTCTTCTGATGTAAATCAATCAAATTTGTCTTTTGATTAAATTTCTTTTTGCAGGTAAGAACATTCAAATGGCTTCTCTCCAGTGTGTGCAGTTCTGATGTGATATGTCAAAGAATCCTTTCTTGGAAATTTCAATTTACAGAAAGAACATTCAAAGGGCTTCTCTCCAGCGTGTGTTCTGATGTGCTTGATCAAATTTCCCTTTGTATTAAATTTCTTTGTGCAGTGAGAACATTAAAATGGCTTCTCTCCAGTGTGTGTTCTGATGTGCTCAATCAAATGTGTCTTTTGATTAAATTTCTTTTTGCAGTATGAACATTCAAATGGGTTCTCTCCAGTGTGTACAGTTCTGATGTGATATGTCAAAGAATCCTTTCTTGGAAATTTCAATTTACAGAAAGAACATTCAAAGGGCTTCTCTCCAGCGTGTGTTCTGATGTGCTTGATCAAATTTCCCTTTGTATTAAATTTCTTTGTGCAGTGAGAACATTAAAATGGCTTCTCTCCAGTGTGTGTTCTGATGTGCTCAATCAAATGTGTCTTTTGATTAAATTTCTTTTTGCAGTATGAACATTCAAATGGGTTCTCTCCAGTGTGTACAGTTCTGATGTGATATGTCAAAGAATCCTTTCTTGGAAATTTCAATTTACAGAAAGAACATTCAAAGGGCTTCTCTCCAGTGTGTGTTCTGATGTGA